CATCAATTACTGCTTTATTTAATCAGAAACACAGTCTAAATATTATATGTGTATTTTGCTTTAATTTTATTAGAAATAGGTCAACAGCGCCCCTTATGGAATTAAAACTCCTTACTGAGCGGGCTTTAGGACCCGGGGGAGGCTGCCGCTGCACGTGCTATTACTGTTTACTCTATCATACACCGAATGCGTCAATCTGTACGTGCATTCTCAGTTTAAATGCAGAGATACAAAACAGTGAATCTAATCACCATTCAGGCAAAACTTTGCTTCAAGAATGAGCCACAATGCTGACATGATCTAATAACACTGTTGACGTGATCTAATCGTTAGCACACCCTGAGCACATGCGAGTTAACGCATTCCTCTTATCGGCGAGACATATCGGCATAATTTTTCATATCGGGCCGATGCCGATATTTACATTTAAAGCCATCATCGGCCGATTCCGATATTGGTTCGATAATATCGTCCATCCCTAGTACTTATTACACTGTAACAAGCTCACCTTAAAAGAAATTGTACCAAAAAAATTTACACAAATATTTAATTTTATTTTAGTATAAATTTTACCAGTACTCAACACTTTGTATACATTTTGAAATTTTTTTTAACTCTGTAACAGGAGTGGCAGCATGCAGGCAGAATTTCTTTCAAAGGTTAGAGTAAAGTTGCTTTCTCATAATAGGCCACCTATGAATATGTAATAAAAAATAAAAAAAAAACGAGAAAATGACATTCAGTTAATGTCCTGGGAAGTGAAAAGCTGCTTGTTTGTAAGAAACAAATCCATCAAGACGTTTTTAACTTTAAACTGTTGCTTCTGGCCATAATGCATAAAAATGCTTACTCAAGTGAAAAAGTCCATCTTCTGTTGTCCTCTCACAACAAATATGCTGCTGGATTTTAGGATCTGTCTTAGACTTTTTTCACTTGTAAACGGTGCTTGATCTGTGCAGATTTCTCTCCTGATGCAAGATGACTTTTTCACAATATTATTGATAGGATTTGTTTCTTAAAAACACTGATGGAGTGGTGTGGATTACTTGTGGATTATTGTGATGTTTTTATCAGCTGTTTGGACTCATTCTGACGGCACCCATTCACTGCAGAGGATCCACTGGTGAGCAAATGATGGAATGCTACATTTCTCCAAATCTGATGAAGAAACAAACTCATCTTGGATTACCTGAGGGCGAGTACATTTTCAGCAAATGTTCATTTTTGGTTGAACTATTCCTTTAATAATTTAATTGAAGACTATGGGTGGAGACTATTCTTATTGCATTTACTATCCTCTAAAGAAGGGGTGTCAGACATACGGCCCACTCCGGCCCGTGGTATGATTTGGACAATAATATAAAATAATAAATAAAATATTATTTTGAAAATTAAATAAAGTGTATTCCCTACAATGTTTTATTTTTTATTTAAAGTGGAAAAATGGCTCATTTATTTGCGTTAATGCTACGCCGTCGGGACGTCTACCACACATTTTAGGGAAAAATCACGATTTTATCACGATTCTTTGTCACGTTGGTTTTTACTATGTTGCAAGTTGTCTATGCAGTACAGTCAAACTAATTTCCCTATTTTAAAAACAAAGCCTTATAAGGTAACAAAATATAAAATAAAAAAGAATGGCAGACATTTAGGCCAAAGTGGGAGAAGATAAAAATCTGTCATTATTTTATCTTTGTTATTAAAAAATAAGAATGTTGAGAGTAAATAAAGACATTCCAGTCGCATCCCATCTGCATGCCACAAACATTGTTTTTTCCTTCTGTAATGTAAAGACTTGAACATTTCCTAGACTCTAGGGATGCACCGATACCATTTTTCAGAACTGATCCGATCCAACCCAATATCAAAAATTCTGAGTATCGGCCGATACCGATACCAGCACCGTTTTTTTTTTTTAATCAATGTAGAATTTCTATACCTCTACTGCATGTTGTGTTTACTTGTGTTATCTTTGACTAATATTTAAATTTGTTTGATGATCTGAAACATTAAAGTGTGACAAACATGCAAAAAAAATAAGAAATCAGGAAGGGGGCCAACACTTTTTCACACCACTGTAAATATATATTATAAAATTAAAAGACATTTATTTTAAATGTAGAGCACAGTAATGAGGCAGCAACATATGATAGATAGGACAGAACAAGAAAGGCTATTAATAATCTTTCATCTTGCAAAAGTCTTATAACATGACAGGCTCCAATACAGAGCGGCACAAAGCGCTTATGCACATCTCGTGCACAGAATGATGCACTTGAAGCAACACAGAGTCACGGCGAGCAGCGCTTCGCATAGAAAAGTTCAAAGCACAAAGGGAAGAGATATTGATGCGTAGTGTAATATATCTGTGCAATAGTCTCTTTTCTTTTAACAGTTTTAAATTTCAGTTACTGGGCATGTTAAGAACAATTCATACATTGTGCTCTCTACTCCAGTGTTGTGATCTAACAGACACCCGGTAGAAAGTAACATGATATAGAAACAGCACTAAACTCCAGCAAGATAAAGTCCTTTTATGAAAAACCATTGATCTTTATCTACAGATCAAGTATAATAATAGGAACATTGAATCCTCTTGGACAGAGTTTTATTGTCTTGACTGTCATAACCGAACGCGACACGCAGTTTTAATGCTGAAAGGAGGATGACAGACAGCCGCAGCGGAGAGAAGAGTTTACGGGAACTTGAATTTAATGACTTCAATATTCATCTGTACCTCACATTAAACTATGGAACGGATTCAGAACATTTGGAATATAGTGCACAAAAACTTTATGGTGCTTTATAATGTTTTTGTGCCTTTCGTGGCTTAACAATAACACAATAGTATACGCACATTAATGGATTTGGATCCATCTCGTCTGACCGATACCCGATCCGGCAGAAAATGGCAGTATCGGAGCCGATACAGATACCGATTATCGGATCGGAGTGTCCCTATCCTAGACTGGCTACATGAAGACTCACCTTTTCCCATTCTCCCTCCATCACATGATTCCTGAACTTGGTAGCAGCAGGATGCTCAAGTCTACAGTCTGATTCCTGCATCAACAGGTCCACTGTTTGACTGAAACAAAAAGAAAGATGCTAATGAATATTGTGAAGTGGATTCATACTCGTTTCACATGATAGCCTCAGGATTAGAGATTTGATTCAGCATTTTATATTCTTGCGCACACACACATAGACAGAGTTCCAATCTCCTGGCAACAAGAAGTCAGTGTTTGATTCATGAACACAATAATTAACATAAACTCCTGAACATGTCATTTCCTAGAAAGGAACACCACTCCCACTCAATTCAATACAAACTGTGTGGAGCACCAATTCACCTGCTTTTCTACACAGAAAACAGAAAACAGGTAAGTTTATGCTAGGCAAGACAGACTGCAATAAAACTAGTTTACCTTGCTTTTACCTTGTCGACAATAACAATTGAACTAGTAAACTAATACACTAGACATGTTTATATATACACATATGGGTGTGTTTTTTTTTTCAACATTTCAAATTCAGATTTTATAAAAAAAAAAACATTTTTTCTTCTTTTTGTTATATGAAGGTCTTACAGGACTTGTGTACTAGCCTATGTCGCAACATATACTGTATTTGATAAAACTATATTATATTATAGTGTCTGGCAGTTTAGAGCAACAATAGCATGAAAATATAAAAATACCACTGCGATATCATGAAAACAGACATCATTATGCAATCATAACAGTCACTATTATTACACTATTATTAAAGCAGAAAAACACCACTGACACTATCATGAAAACACAAAAACACTTTTGACAATACCATGAAAGCACCACTGAAAACAAACAAACAGACAAAAATCAACAACATGTTACAAAATACCACTGACACCACCTTGAAAGCACAAAACCACTGACACCATTATGAAAACAATAACAGCACTGACACGCTACAAGAACACTACTGACACCATCATGAAAGCACAAAAACACCACTGACACTGTTATTAAAAAAACACTAACACCACTGACATGGCAGGAAAACACCACTGACACTGTTATAAAAAACACTAATACCACTGACATGGCAGAAAAACACCACTGACATGTTACAAAACACCACTGACACGGTTATGAAAAACACTAACACCACCGACATGGCACATAAACAACACTGAAATCTAAGAAAAATCCACTGACATGTTACAAAAAAACACTGACACTGTTATGAAAACAATAACAGCACTGACATGCTACAAGAACACCACTGACACCATCATGAAAGCACAAAAACACCACTGATACTGTTATTAAAAAAAACACTAACACCACTGACATGATACAAAAACACCATCAAGACAGCACAAACAAACAACAGCACTGACACCACCATGAAAGTACAAAAATCACCTCTGAAAAATAAAATATTAAAAAAATAACAGCACTGACACGCTACAAGAACACTACTGACACCATCACAAAAGCACAAAACACCGCAATCGTTCAAACATAACAACATCAGTGACACATTACAAAATCACAACTGACCGCATCGTGCAAGCACAACCACACGACGGACAGATTCAGGAAAGCCGCACTGACAGCATCATGGCTTCATGTCGTCTGACCAATCCAATAATAACCCGATGATAAGGCGCTGATCGCGGCTGAGCTTCACTTACTTGAGTCCTAACCCGTGGAGATGCTGTCCTATGAGCCGGATCACATCCTCGTCGCTCTGGGACAGTCGTTTCTTCTTCTTCATGCTGGTGTCTGACGCCGGGCTCTCGGTGGACGGTAGCCCGTTATTAGCGGAGGACAGCAGCCCGTTGGAGTGCACAGCTTCCGCGGCGGAGGACGAGGACTCTCCGTTCCTGCAGGGCAGCTGCGGCTCCGGCTCCGGCTCTTGTCCTCCTGTCCCGTTGGCCTGCATCTTATAAAACGCGTTTACAGTGGCGGATCTGTGCGACTGCGACCTGTTATTGAGACGGATGGCCGAGTGCTGGTGGGGGGTTGGGAAAGACGCCGCAGAGAGGCCCGTGATCCCGGCAGCAGACGCCCCGCTCTCTCCTGCTCCCTCCGCCGCCGAGCCTCGGCTTTTCTTCCGCGGGGGCGGCGAAGCTCCGCCGGTTTCCGAGTCGGAGGAGGAGGCAGCGGAGGCCAGAGTTTCCTCACCGGCAATGTCAGAGTCGAGACGCCTCACAGGCTCGATATCAGCGCGATTACAGACACGGAAGCCGCCGCCGCCGCCGCTCGCTGCTCTTGTTATTGTTTGTCAGAGAACAAACTCTCTAGAATCACAAAAAAACAAAAAAAAAAACTCTATAGAATCATATAAAGCCACACTCAAGAAGAGAGCTGGCTTCAAGTTATTGTTGTACAGTCTAACAAAAAGTACTGACGCTGTCAGATAGCAATACAGTTAAAACTTACTGAATGATTAAACAAGAACGCCATGAAGCGGTATTAACAACTTGTTAATGCCTAGGTATTAACATGATACTTCTTGAGGGAACTTACAGAAAAGTTTTGTATCCAGCAATAATATTTGATTACCAATAATACTGGTATGACTGTATTTACATGGTAAATAGGCCTACCAATAAAATACATACATACATACCATGGTACTGCTGTATTTCTATGGCACATCGTCAAAAATATGAACTAAGTAAGTCGTGTCCACAAAGCTGTAGTAATACCATGGTAATTTTGGTATGTTTTCATCAGTGGTATAGATGTGCTATACCTGGTATGACCTTTGCCCTGAGGAGAAGGGATTTTAAAGAAAGACTTTCTGAAATGGAAACCAGGGACATTTTCTAGCAATATATCCAAATGTCATTATCTATGATTTTTTTTTTTTTAAAAATACATACATACATACCATGGTACTGCTGTATTTCTATGGCACATCGTCAAAAATATGAACTAAGTAAGTCGTGTCCACAAAGCTGTAGTAATACCATGGTAATTTTGGTATGTATCAATCAGTGGTATAGATGTGCTATACCTGGTATGACCTTTGCCCTGAGGAGAAGGGATTTTAAAGAAAGACTTTCTGAAATGGAAACCAGGGACATTTTCTAGCAATATATCCAAATGTCATTATCTATGATTTTTTTTTTTTTAAATGGGGACAATACTTTTTTTTTATTTTTTTAGGTCCATATACTTTTATATGGTTTTACGGTCAGTTTGACAAGTCACCAAAAATCACACTATGAAAAAAAAAATTATAATAATAACCACTGCAAATAGCAAAGACATCAAATCATATTATATTCTAAAAAAAAGGCCCATATGGCTTTACAAAAATAATATGACAAAAAATAAAACAAAATAAATATGAGAAGTAGAACTGATAAATAAGACTAATGTTATTAAACCTGAACTGAATTAAGCTGCATGATGCACACTGTTATGGATCTGAACTGACTTGTGCTGAATAATGACACTCTTATAATGACTTATAATGATAATGACTGAATAATGACAGTCTTTTAGAGCTGTTTTACACCAGAACCCGAATGGTCTCCATAGTTTCAGTTTCCTTAACTGATTCTATAATTTTCCTGTTTATTGCATTTAATATTTTCATTTTCAGAATCTGTGAATATACTGTGTAAAGTACAAATATTGGTCATACTTTAAGGTCTAATTCTGACTATTAACTACGACTTTTGCCTCAATAAACTCCTAATGTTCTGCTCATTAGTTAGTAGTTGTTAAGTTTAGGTAGGGTTAAGAGATTGTAAATATAGTCATGCAGAATAAGACATCAATATGTGCTTTAATAAACAGCCAATATGCTATGCATGCTAGTTAATAATGAGAATTCCTTAAAATAAAGTGTTACCCAAATATTTAGTTTTTTGTTGTGCTTTTGGAGGCTATGTTGGTCTGGATTTGACAGCGTTTTGCAAGGTGTTGTGAACATGCTGTAAAATGGGGATATTTCTGGGGACAAAGCTTCTCCATTTATGACCCTGCTGAAAAAGTTGGTTTACTTATCTTAACTGGTCCCACAGAACAAGTGCCCAAAACTCCTCTAAAATCAGACCAGCACGTCATCTTAGGCTGGATTTAACTTTTTTTTGCAAGGGAGTAATGCAAACCTTGTTAATGAACTATTTGCCCAAACTGTCAATTGTTAACTATTGTCAAACAATCACAAATATCAGTTTTCCTCAAAACAGTAGAACTTTATATGTTGTTTTAATTATTTTGTTGTTATCAATGTTGTAATACCATGTTACCAAAGTTTTAGGGTGACAGCAATAATTGGAGTAGCGTTGGTATTCGGGGAACCATTATGTTGAATAAATTCAAAAACACATTTAAAAGAATCAAACTCAGACAGCATTAGGTAACAGATCTTTCAAAGTGCCATTTTATTCCATATCCAAGCATAATTCAAAAATATCAAATTTTAGCAAAATCCTGCATCAAACCACAGCGATCGGCCACAATGTCAAGCCTTCATAAACCATTTCATCATCTGAAAGTCAAAATCAAACGTATTTCTGCTTACCGACACAGAAGGTCCCTGACACTGGTAATAAATGAACTGTTTGGCCAGTTTAGAAGACACACCGATCCAGCCTAGCGTCCTGTCTCTGTGTACAATACTCTTTAACTACAACTTTACATCATAATATAAAAATATGACTTGCTGGGAGAAGAGGGCTCTTCTTAAAACTGTACCGGAGAGCAGAATGCCGTAAAAGAATAAACTATTGCACATTCATCTAATCCTTTAGGAAAGACACCGCGGGGAATATATTCTGAACTAAGAAACATTCATCCCTGCAATGACACGCACAATGAACCCGTTCACACAGTGATACTCATACACTCCTGCTGCACTTTGACTATGTCCTCAGAGTAGCACAAACTTACACACATAGTGGCTTGTATTTGGCACATGAGGAACACTAGAATGTATAATGGGGTCCAAAAGTCTGAGACAACCAGTGAAAGTGCTTGTTTTTATTTTTAGAATTTAATACAATATTTTTTATTACTAATTACATTGACAGCATAATAATTTTAGTAACACTTAATTTTTTTTTGTTTTAAATATTCTTATTTTTTCGTTATTTTATGAGTTATGAGTAATCCTAGAACTGTACGGTTATTTCCAGGATTAAAACCCATGATTTAATGTGTTCTCAGACTTTCAAACCCTCATGTACATCCATTATAAATGACCAAAATTCAAAAGAGAAAATGTGACTATAGAGTTTAGAAATGCATGAACACACACACACACACACACACACACACACACACCCCGTGTCAGCAAGTTTTCTTCTTCTTTCAGACACCCTTTCTACCTCAATCGACCCCTTCGGTGCTCATTTTTTAAACTTTCTCTTATTCATATTTATGAGAGAGTCTGTAGACGCAAGGAGAGACTCAGAAGTGGAGTCTTAGCTGGAGTATTCACTGTTGGTTAATAGACATAATGGCAACGACAGGACAGAATGAGGTATTGTGTGGTTGTAAGTGAGAAGGCCCAGTGCGCTTGGTCAATGTTAAGTCAATGGCAGACATTAGAAAAACACAAACACACACACACACACACACACACACACACACACAAACACACACACACACACACACAAACACACACACAAACACACACACGCACACTTTCAGAAGAGGCAAAGGCAGTCAGTATGATTTCCTACACAGGCATCCGGAGTAGCTTTTCAATTGCAAACAACATTCAGATATATCTGGGACTTTCAGAGTAATCTTTAAATAAAGGATTAAATAATTAAATTAAAGAAGAACAAAAATAGGTAATTCATCGGTTCCTTTGAGCAGCGCAGTGCGTAAAATACAGTAGATTTCATTGTATTCGGTGCGGTTTGAGTTTAAAAACAACCTGTTTATCACTTTAGCAACCTAATAAAATCATTCAACTTGTTTTATTTCATTCACTCATCTCTGTGCACACTTTCAAAATTTTGATTATATAGTACTTCTCTTATATAAACAGAAAGTCTCTCTCAACATTTCTTCCCTCAGCCTAATAAATAGAGAAAACACATTTGAAAGTACTAATTACTGGAGCACATGTACTCGGCAGAAGAGGTATGAGGTGAGGTGTGCGCGAGCAAGAGTTTTGTGTAGGACAGTGTGTGTGCGTGTCGGTCAAGAGCTGTCCACCACTTGGTGCGGCAGGGTGACAAAAGAGCCGTTAATGAAAGAGCCTTGTTTTTCACGTCCCTTTAGGAAGTAGGTGAGCAGCTCTCCTTTCCCCTTGACGAATATGGGTCCTCTCCTGACGAAGCGGAAGCCGTAGTCCTTCAGGATGCAGTAGCAGTCCTCCACCACCTGGGGGAAGCAGAGTTTGTTAGCTGGCGAACAGCGCTGTCACCGTTACAATGCAGTAAAACTCAGAAAACAGTTCGCACTTTTGAACTTCCAGTTGCATCGTCCTGGTTTTTTTTTTTTAAATATTCTCAGGTTTTATTCTAAGACATCAGTTAAACACCCTTGTAATTTTTTACGAGTCTTGAAAAAGGCGCTTGCTAACAAATCGTTAAATGTGACTACAGAGGTTGTCGAGACATTAAACACAATCACACCAAACAAGTAAACGTACTCTGTTACTTTCGTAACCTCGGTTCCCTGAGATACGGGAACGAGTACTGCATCGCTAGACGCTTATGGAAAAACTCATTTTTCTCCGAGGACTGAAGACTTATTCAATCACGCAGTGTAACTGCACGGCCATTGGTTCGTGCAGTGATTATAAAACGAACCAATGGCACGGCAGCGGTGCTGCATGAGCCTATGGCGGTGAAGCACGCCAGAGCCCGCCAGAATGGGCGGGGCCATCTGGCTATATAAGCAGGCATTTCGCCATAGGATCTCAGGTCAATTCGACTGAAGCGATGACACAGAGTCGTGCAGCATCATGGCACGGCAAACCAATACAATCCCGCCGTGCCATGAGAGAGGAACGACTGATATGAACTGGCCTTGAGCGAAAAAAGGCTCAGAGGGACCAATTATGCGCAGGGTGAGCCCTGCAGGAGGCAAGAGCCTTCAGATAATCGTTCCAACGGTCATATGTATAGCCTCAGCACTAGTAATAGGGCCAAGAGCGTTCCTGAAGAGTCAGGCAGAGCCTGAGACTTAGACCGCCTAGACAGGCGTGTGCCACTTTAAGCAGATAAAATCCGGGCCTGCAAGGCCGGAACATCCAAGTTATAGAACCTGGCAAAGGTGGACGGTGAGGCCCAGTCGGCTGCCGCACAGATGTCTGCTATGGACACACCACTAGACCACACCCAGGAAGAGGCCACGCCTCGAGTGGAATGGGCTCTCACTCCTATGGGACTCTGAAGACCCAGGGAGGAATAAGCTAGTGTGATAGCATCAACTAACCATCGAGAGATCCTCTGCTTTTTGACCGGGCATACGAAGCATACGAAGAGTTGTTCCGACTGCCTGAAGGGGGTGGAATGCTCGATGTAAATTCTCAATGCCCTAACTGGGCAGAGAAGGTTAAACTCCTGGTCCTCCTCAGAAGGAGGAAGCGCATAGAGAGTAATAACCTGGGCTCTAAACGGCGTGTAGAGCACTTTAGGGACATACCCATGTCTTGGCTTTAGGACGACTTTGGAGTCGTTAGGCCCAAACTCAAGACAGACAGGGCTTATCGAGAGAGCCTGCAAGTCACCTACTCGCTTAACCGATGCTAGCGCCAGCAGCAGAGCGGTCTTCAGTGACAGTGTTTTTAAGCTCGCAGACTGGAGTGGCTCAAAGTGGGGTCCCATGTAGGGACCATGAGGGGCCGGGGCGGATGGAGCCTCCTGAATCCCCTCAGGAAACGGACAACAAGGTTGTTCCGGCCCACCAACTGTCCGGCTATAGGAGCGTGAGAAGCTGCTATAGCTGCCACATAGACTTTGAGCGTGGAAGGGGAGCGGCCCTTGTCCAACAGCTCTTGGAAGTAGGACAATATCACCGATATGTCAGATGTTACTGGGTCCTCGCCGCGGATTTCACACCAGGTGGAAAAAATAGACCACTTAAGGGCATAGAGGCGTCTCGTAGATGGGGCTCTAGCCTGTGAGATATTCAGGACGCTCTTTGGGAGATCTACTGATTCCCGTTGAGAGCCCATAGGTGCAGTGCCCACAGCTCGGGCTGGGGGTGCCAGATTGTTCTGTTCGCCTGCGAGAGGAGGTCCTGCCACAGGGGAATGGGCCACGGAGCTGCCGTCGGCAACTGAGACAGCTCTGAGATCCAGAGATGGTTCTTCCAAAGCGGGGCCACCAGAAGCACTCTGTGCCTGTGCTCCCTGACTCGCCTGATTACCTGGGGGATCAGGGCGATCGGGGGAAAAGCATACAGCAGGAGGTTGGGCCATTCGTGGGCCAACGTGTCCTCGTTCTTTGAAAAATAAGTTTGGCAGTGAGAGTTGTCTTTTGAGGCGAAGAGGTCGACCTCTGCCTTGCCAAAGATCTCCCAGATTTTCTGAACCGTCTGTGGGTGGAGCATCCACTCCTCTGAGGAGACATTGCTCTGAGATAGCATGTCTGCTCCTTGGTTCAGTACGCCGGGTACATGAGCCGCCCTCAATGAACGCAGGTTGAGATGTGCCCATTCCAAGAGGCGTTTTACAATCTCGAAAAGGCGTTTCGAGGTGAGCCTGGAAGAGGAAATTTACTCTCTTTTTGAAAATGTTTTTTATTTTTCTCGCTATCACAGTGGATATGTGTGAGGGCGCATTTAGAACTCGCCCGTGATTCACAACACTTGGAACAAACATACTGCCACTGGCACCCAGAACTGAACAGAGTGCTTGAGGGCACGACAGAGGGCGTTTCGGGGGTGCACTTGCGAGACTTTGCCTCTTCCTCTTCCTTTCCAGCGGATCAGGACGACGCCGGGGGTGCAGGGTCCAAGTTCAGCTTGGGCCGGGGTCCTTGGCCCTTTGGAAAGGGATAGCATCTGGCCGAGCGGGAGCGGTGTCGGGGCTCAGGCTTTTGAGCAGGCTGAGCGGGCGACGATGCAGCTTTAGCTGGTTGCTGCGCTGGAGCAGGCTTGGGGCGACTGGTGGCCGTTGCAGAGCTGGAGCGTTTTGGCAAGAAGTGTCGCATGGCCTGGGACGTCATGGCCTGCGGCATTAGGTCCTGACTCATCCATGGCCTGGAGGAGTTTGGCTTGAAAGACCTGGAGCACAGCCATGGAGTGCAGAGCTGAGGCGGCCTGCCCGGCGGGAGCACGCCACGACTTCGTAAGCTCATCATGGACCTCCGGGAAAAATGGAGAGGCTCGCTGACGAGGGGCCTGGCGGCGCCCCGGCAGGAACCATTCATCCAGACGGCTACGAGTGGGCTCCTCCGGCGTAGACCACTCCAATCCCAGTTCCTCAACTGCCTTAGAGACGATGTGGAAAAGTTCGGCATCCATCCCTGGCTTAGAGTCATTGGGCTCGGCAGAGGATGAAGGGGCTAGGTCAGCAATAGAGCCCTACATCTCCTCCACGTCTGATGCTATTAGAGACAAGCTGTCAGCTCGTTCTCTATGGGACCGAACGAGACCACGTCGCTCGCATCAGCCGAGGGACGCTGGTCTGTGTGCTCAAAGAGAACAGGAGAATCCTCTCTGCTTGGCGGGGACGAGGCGCGCGGGATCTGGGCCGGCGCGAGTTCGCTCGTGGCCGAGCGCTTAGTCCCTTTGCCCCGCTGTTTTTTCCTCACAGATTCCTTTGGAGGAAGAAAACGGGAGGGCGCGAAGGGAAGATTCGCTCTCTAAAAAGAAAGCGATCCGAGCGCACAGAGTGGGCGAGACTCATGTTCACAAAATGTGAACAATCCATCTCGGTCAGAGCGGCTTCCGCGTGGGGCTTATTCAAGCAGGAAACGCACTCTGAGTGGCTGTCACCATCGTGCAGTGTAATAATGCACGACGTGCAATAACGGCCCGGCATTTGAAACAGTGCTCTTCTAGAGAGAAATTTGCTTTTTTAGGCTCGCCGGATGGCAGCAGGGGACGAGCTGGCATCTGCGCTGGTCGCTGAGCAGCTCGAAGAGCAGGCGGAGCGGCGAGAGGGCGCAGAAGAAACGGCAGCTTCTATCCGAAGCGAGGCATTTCTACGGCGAGCGTCTTCAAGTCCTGAAGGTCAGCGAAGGGAAGATCGTCGTCGCTGAAGGAGAATTGATCTGAGATCCTATGGCGAAATGCCCGCTTATATAGCCAGATGGCACCGCCCATTCTGGCGGGCTTCACTGCCATAGGCTTGTGCAGCACCGCTGCTGATCCATTGGTTCATTTTATAATCACTGCACGAACCAATGGCCGTGCAGTTACACTGCGTTATTGAATAAGTCTTCAGTCCTCTGAGAAAAAGTTTTTCCATAAGCGTCTAGCGACGCAGTACGAGTGAAGTATCGATAGGGAACTCATCTACTTGTGTTTATAATCACGCACTTGCTAACTATTCTAACTCATGATTTACAAGTTGTAGATTTTAAATAAGGACTGAAAGAGTTTTTGGAAGCTTTGTGAAGATGTTGAAATCATATGACCATGGTATTTTTTGTTTATAGCCAAACTTTAGCTTTAGTACACTATAATATACTTTCAAATAGAGTACATATTACATAATGTATTCATAAAAGTTCATCTTTATGTAATTTTATAATTACTTCTGTTGTCTTTGAAATATGGTTAAAGTGTTACTGCTGAATGTACTGACAAGCATTTATGGTAAACTAAAATATACCTTAATGTCATTTCTATTAAAACTTGTATTTCATGTATTTAAATATATTTGCAATTACCCATTTGTAATGATTAAGTTGCAATTTAGTACATTTAAAATATATTAACTTTAAATAAGCATGTTATTCAACACATCAAAATAAGTGTACAAAAGATCATTAAAATATAATGATTTAAAATGTACCTTAAAGTATAGAAAGTGTCTATTTTAAGTACATTTTTTGGCCTTTTATTTCATTAATAACATATATGCAAGTTTTTTTATTATTTATTTTGTAATACAAAAATCCTATTGTCCTTTTGTGGGGTGAATCACGGTGATGCGAACTATGGGTTGGCCTACAAAAATACATCATCACTACAGTGCTCTGTTTCTAATGTTGGGTAAGCTCCTTTAAAAGTAGTTCACCTAAAGTCAAGCTAACTAGCATCACCTGGATGTTTCCCATCACCCCTGTGGACTCCATGCGACTGGCGACATTCACAGTGTTTCCCCAGATGTCAAAATGAGGTTTACGGGCCCCGATCACACCAGCCAAAACGCCCCCTTTATTCAACCCTATGGAGAAAACACACAGAAAAACATGAAGCATAATCATTGTGTCATTCACACACAGCTGGACGTCAGGCCACTAACCGATGCGGAGCATGAAGTTATTGAAGGACTGGTAGTTGATGTTCATCAACGTGACTTTCATGGCCAGAGCAAAATCAGCAAGATCTGCCAAGTGCTGCCACCGTTCCCGGTCTGAAATCTCTTCTTTCTGTTGGGAAGGACAAAAAAAAATCGCTTTTACCTCTGTTTCATCAGAACTAGATGGATATATTGGACTCGTATGTACTGTCTTTACCTTCATACAAGCATAACCGTTAGTGTTATTGTCTGAAGTGACTCCTGATGCTGCCATATACGTGCTGCCAATCGTCTTGATCTTAGTTATACAGCGAAACTGCGGCTCGTCTAAAAGCTAAAGAGCACAAAAGCAAACAAATAACAGTATAAAGTCTCAACTGGTACTTTTATTGGCAACGACTGGGTGAAATACTCCTACTACTAGTACTTACGCTATCAAAATCGGAAATGATTTCATTGAGGAACCTCAGACACTCAATCCCGCCATTGTTGATGCTTTCCTCCGTATAGAAATCAGAGAAGTTTGGGATGGAGGCGAACATGACTCCAATCTCATCGTAGGACTGGCTGTAGAGCTCCTGGGACGTAGGAAAGTTAACCGAGTTTGATGGAATTTGTGTAAAATATGGAATCGGACACTGACAGGCTGGATTTTCTCACCTCATCTCTCTTCTTGGAGCCTAGAAAATGCCGGGCGACGTGCTCCGGAAGCATATTAGTGACCAGAGCCTCGTTCCAGCGCCGCATCTCGTACACCTTCTCCTTCTGCTCATGCACTTCAATCTTCCACAGGAACAGCGTGCGTGCTAGCTTCTCCACCTGAGCCACGCCAGCAGAAAGAAAGGTGAGAATGTACACTACCGCTCAAAAGTTGTTGTTTTTATAAGAAATTAATGCTTTTATTCAGTAAGGATGCATTAGATTTTTCAAAAGTGACAGCTTTTATAAATCTAAGAATCCTGAACAATACAATTTATCACAGTTTCCACAAAAATATTGGGCAGCACGACTGTTTTCAACATTGATAATAATCAGAAATGTTTCTTGAGCAGCAAATCAGCATATTAGAATGATTTCTGAAGATCATGTGACACTGAAGACTGGAGTAATGATGCTGAAAATTCAGCTTTGATCACAGAAATAAATGACATTTTAAAATACAAAGTTCTGTCATGAAACTCTAGATGGCGCAGGCTGATAGGTCCTAACTCAATCTGATATAATCACATCATTATTCACATGGAGCAGCTGATTGGTTTCTTTTTCACATCAGCAGCCAATGAGCTTGCTGCTCAACATTCAAATACTCGGCTTGTGCTTGCTGTAGCAGTTGCAGCACACTTTAGAAACCCTCCACCTTCCCCAGCTCCACCTGTATAGATCTGCTATGAGGTAATTTCATATACGTTAAATATGGGGGTTATTTCATATATGTTATATGTGATGCATCTGTATTTCCTACACGCTCACAGCAGCATGTCTGTGGATGTATTGGCAATAGCAAGTCTCTGTACTTGCTCTGCTGTAGCAGCATAGAACATCTATTTAGCTAAGACCAAACACATTAAAATTGCCATGTATATCACCATGCTAAACTCTCAGAGACTTGTCATGACAGGAATATATTCACACAGAAAAGTTATTTTAAATTGAAATAATATTTTACAATTTTTCTGTATTTTTGATCAAATAAATGCAGCCTTGGTGAGAATAAGAGACTTCTTTCAAAGCATTAAAAATCTTACAGACCCCAAACTATTGAAATGTAGTGTACTTTAAAGAAATATGTTGCTCAAATTCATTCATTTTTTCATTCTGTGGAATACATAAAGTGTATTTTTGAAACATATCTTAGCTGACCTTTACAATATAATGTCAGTAAATGGGAAGTGGACATATCAAGCATTGAAATGACAAGATAAGCACAATAAAGGTATATTAAAAATAGTTATTGCACTACATCCCAAATCGCTGTATAGCCAAACGCTTTGTGTGGGGAATAGACTGAAATTTAAGTCATTATTCGCTGAAAAACTGAAAAAGTGTGTTAAAAAAAATACAAAAATACTGTGTTTATGTCCTTTGACGCAAACTGCATTAATTGATGTGTCTTTTAATCAAATGTCATTTATATCAAACCTGACAGAATGCATATAATATGCATATAATACAATATATGCATATAATATATCATTTGATTTGAAAGGTTCTAGAAAGTTGACAATTTACCATAAATAACAACATACATTTTGGTCTGTTCCTGAAACAAAACTCTTATACGACTTCAGAAGACTTGGGATATAAAACATTACATTTTTAGGTGCTTTTATGTCATTTTGGAGCTTGACAGTCCCAGTCCTCACACTTTCATCATATGAGAAAGAGTGGCCAGGATATTGTTCAAAAATTCTACTTTTGAGACACACTAAAGAAAGATAGTCATAGTAAATAGTTACAGAATTAGCATTTTTGAGTAAACTAAAAATGATCAGAGAGAGAGAGAGATAAAAGTAAATCTCACATGTCGGGAGAAGTAGTAGAAGCTGACCATCATGATGAAGATCATCACACTCATGGCGTATTTGGAGGGCACAAGATTAACTCTGTAAAAAAAAAAAAAAAAGATTAAATCGACTTGAAAAGTAACACCCCATTTCTCTATGATATTTTAATACCTAGAGATAACAGGCTCAATTCAATGCAAGTAAGAGATGTTTCACAATTCTATAATCCACCAGGTGTAAATCACTGAAAATCACAAGTCTGATCACTTAAAGGGACAGTTCACCCAAAAATGACATTTCTGTCATCATTTACTCACCCTGAAGTTGAGTTTCTTTCTTCTGCTGAACACATTTTGAATAATATTCGTAACCCAACTGTTGACCGTAACCACTGACTTCCACAGCATGGAAAAAAAAATACTATGCAGGTCACTGGCTACCGCCAACTGTTGGGTTACCAATAGTATTCAAAGTAACTTCTGTTGTGTTCAGCAGAAGAAAGAAACTCATGCAGGTTTGGAACAACATGAGGGTGAATTTTCATTTTTGGGTGAACTATCGCTTTAAATAAGCAGCAACACACATCTGCTAAACAGACTGCTTGATTTGAGATGTTATTCACGTTATAATAGAGTACTAATGGGTGATAACGGTATAATAGTGCTAATCCTTACTGTGATTGGTGCTTGACCCACCTGTATTCTTTAAAGCGCGTCAGATCGTACAGGTCAAAGATGTCCCTCCAGCTGTAGATGTTGACCACACCTGTGGCTCCGGTGATCAGCAGCATGAGGGTGAGTTTGACCATGTGACTGACCTGCACCAGCATGGTGGTGGCGATCAGCGCGAGTACTGCGATGTAGCTGTAGTATTTAGGATTCTCTGAACAGCCGCTGGCGGCCCAAGTGACCGGAGTGACCGCAGTCGCCTCATTTGTGGAGGACTCAGGTGAACGACAGCTCAACTACAGAAGAGACAGGAGCACAGGTCTCAAAAGCATCATCTTAAATGTGATGCGTGTTGCTTTTTTTCGTTGTTTTAGATGCTAAAAAAATTATGTTTGTGCATTTATTTAATCTCACTAGTGAAATAAAGATTTTTTTGTTTGTAAGATTTTTAAATGTTTTTGAAGAAGTCACAGTAATATTTATTTGATCAAAAATACAGTACAAACAGCAATTTTGTGAAGTGATATGTGACCCTGGAGCACAAAACCAGTCATAAGGGTCAATTTTTCAAAATTGAGTTTTATACATCATCTGAACGCTGAATACATATGCTTTCCATTGATGTATGGTTTGTTAGGATAGGACAATATATATATATATATACATATATATATATATAGGCCGAGATACAACTATTTGAAAATCTGGAATCTGAGGGTGCAAAAAAACAAAATATTGAGAAAATCATCTTTAAAGTTGTCCAAATGAAGTTCTTAGCAATGCATATTACTAATCAAAAATTAAGTTTTA